GCATTAGGGTTCAATTCAGTATAATGATCAAATATTATCGACCGGATCCCTTCTCTAAGAATTCTGGCTAAAGTGTTGTGTTTCTTCTTCAACGTACCTTTTCCATAGTTGTCTAATTCTTGTAAAAATTTTGTCAGTTTGTTTTTAGACTCTGTTCCGTACAAGGAATTGATGTAATTTATGATTTCTTTAACATTCCTATCGTAACTTTTGTCTTTCAACGTATCAGCAAGCACGTTCATGTATGCCTTTATAACTTGGACTGGTTTATTTTTAATCAAATCGAATGCAGAACCTAACAACGACCTAATTTCAAAATTCTCCATCAATTCATGAAACTTACATCCCCTGTAATGATATTTTCGTACTTCATCGTCTAGAGTTTTGAAGAAATCACCAAATGTTGCGTCGTCGTATGAGTTTAGTATACTGACAGCTTGTTGTATAAAATCGGTGAGTGTTTCAATGTCTCCATCTTTGAAGTCCCTTCTATAGCTGCCTGATTTATCAATCACAGTCTTAACTTTGTTTATTAGATTCTTTACTTTGTCTAGAAACTTTAGATCTGATTCTTTGTCTTTGTCGTTAAATTCTAGGACGGTTTCTAAAGCCAAATGAACGGCCCTTCCATTCAAGGGCGGAGAGTCAGCAGCACTTCTACCTACGTTCACTGTAAGACAAATAAAACTGATTAATAAAAAATAAACATATTGGCCACTCGAACAACGAGGCAGTCACGTAATACCACTGTACAATGTAACACCCATACATACATACATAACATCACGCCTTTTCTCCCCGAAGGGGTAGGCAGAGGTGCACATTATGCCACTGTACAAAATAACACCCACTTTTCACTATTTATGCTATGAGCCCCATGTAATAGGGGGTGAGCCTATTGAGCACAAATCCAGACTCCCTGCTACCACTGAGAATTTTTTAAAAACCCAGTAATACTTTGCTCGACCCGGGAATTGAACCCGAGACCCCTTACCCGGCAGTCGCACTTGTCACCACTCGGCCAACAAGGCAGTCTTATTTATTTATTTATTTATTTATTTATATGTATAAGGAGCTATATAATTATCTGCCACGGTTTTAATGGGAGGTATTGTTGTGTTTGAAGATTATAATAGTAGGTATAAATTATTGGTTATGAGTTATATATTTTTTTATAAAAAAAATTACGTATTAATTTGTATTAATTTACTTGCATAAAACCATCCCGTGTTGCCGCACTGCAACGAATTCATTCAATTCGCAAAACGCGGGCGCCGCCCCGTCACACACTGTTGCCATTCTTATCGAGATAATGGCAGATTGCAAGAAAAACCGAAAGAAGAATGGCAACAGTGTATGACGGGGCGTTCGGGAACGAGACAGCTCGGCGCCGACACTGGCGCCGGCTTGGCGGCGAGGAGTATAAAGAAAAGGGAAGTAGGTTATCTTTATACAAATGCACCGCGCGCGGCTTATATGTGTGCGCCATAGTATCTATGCGTCGACGCACGCACACTTTAACAAAATCTCGACCTGTTTCTCAGTGCGCCAGGCAGGGCTAACACTGCACGAGGTTCGCGCGCGCATCACTTTTCAGCACTGTTAAATTAATAAAAAATGTCTGATAATCTTAGAAGAACGTATTGCTGTGTGTTTGGGTGTCTTAATAATTCATCGATGCCAGAACTGTCTCTGTTCAGATTACTTATTGAACAGGAAAGATAAGCTAGTCACTTATTCTAGCATAATATAATTTGTACTTGATGATGAGATACCTACTTACTTATTTTTTGTTTGTGTTAGTTTCCTATCAGTATCACATAGAGAGTAGGTAGGCCCAATTTCCTACTAGAATGTATTAAGTAGGTACTTTTGATCTGGCAATTGATTTGCCACTATTGTCGCCTATTGTTTTGTTTACGTTTAGTTATGGTTATGTTGAATTTAGGTATATATAGTAACTAAGTATCTAATTAATTACAGTTATAAAACCGTAATTCAAAATAAGTAATTGACTATGGTCTATCGATTTATGTAGTTAACTAAAGGTAAACAATCTTGGTATGTAAGCTGCGCCTAAACTAAAAGTGACAACCCTAAGACAGTAGGCAATTATATCGCGGATTGGGAAGAAGATGGCCTAATTCCCTTTTCTTTATACTATGTCGCCAATGCATGCACACCCCCGCGCACACCCCAGTACTCGTCGCACGCGCCGCCCGCCCGCCAGTAGCCCAGTCCACCCCCGCCTACCCAGACGTTAGTTTCAGTGTCGGGGACACGCGCGCTACGTAAAAACGACGACGAAATTCAAATCAATAATATCTTGAAATGGTGTAGTGCTACCCCGGGTGTAAATCCACAACAGGGCATGCGGTTAATTTATACCAGACGTTCGATGTGCGAGTGAGTCATCATACCATCCTGGATGCAGTGTAGGTACCGATACCGAGAACACGGCCGCTTTAACCCGGCAGGCAGGCCTCCATTATCGGCCGAACTAGAAGAGAAAGTGTTAGAGTTCTTTCGGCGTCATCCTCTTGCGAGCACAACGGATGCTGCCGTTCAAATCACGCGCAAAATCGCATTGCGCATTTAGGCAAGTAAAAGTGAAACGAACACATTAAATAATGTTAGGACATGATGTTCGGAAGCGTGCCTTCAATTGTGTGCAACGCGAAGGTGGACTTGTGCAATAGTTTTGTAGATAAGTAGGTAGGGAGTGTGTAAATAACTGTGAATACGATGCAATTGTTGTAAATAAGATTATTAACTTTAAAATACGCTAAGTTACAGATTATCGTTATTTGATATTATTTTAAATTAAAATTAATAAAAAAATACGATTCTTACGCTAACTTGACAGTCCGAAGCCCAAAATGGGAAGTTTATCATCTTATTTACCTAGGTATATCAGTTTTTTGGAAGAATGCCGTACCGTAAGTAATTGCACTTTTAAAACACTTATTAGCCTGCCTATTGAGTATCTAGTAGATTTTTTTTTTAAGCGAGATGCCTGCTCCCGCCTGGTTGAGGCGGAAGGGAGTGTCAGACTCTTACTGACTAAAAACCACCCCGTTCCTTCTCCTGCACGTCGAGCCGGAGCCCCGGTTACCCGTTAGGTTCTCCGCGACGAGTATCTAGTAGATTAGATCGTGACGAACTAGTCAGCTGATTTCCGTTTTCATTCTCAGTACACGTGGAAAGAGATAGCAATTGTTTTCATTGACTAAGCGACGCATCGCGCGTAATTTGTGAACCACATTATGCAGAGTAGACTCGATGTTTACTTAATTTGTTTATCTTCTCAAATTGAATTAGCTGGTCCGGGGTATGAAATTTCTTCACTATTGTAATCTGTAGTAAACACAACACTACCTCCCATTAAAGCCGTGGCATATAATTATATAGCACCTTGTATATGTATTTTTTTTCAACTTTAGTATTTTATTTATGTATACCTACTTACATAAAATGTAGTGTTGTAATTATTTCCCACAAATTGAATATTGATTAAATCTGCTTAGTAATTTATGTTTGTTCATTATTTATTTAGTATTAATCTATTTTATTTTAACTCGTCGAGTACCGGTTTTATAGACACAATTAAAGAACAATAGATCGCGGTCACCGGTGACCGCTTGGTGTTTGACAGTTTAACTAGTGTTAACAATACATTATCACTACATAGTATAAAACAAAGTCGCTATCCGCAGTCTGTCTGTCCCTACGTACCTATGCTTACTGTAAAACAACAAACAAGTTTTCAATATCTTCATTGTTTTGTTTTTCAACCAGACCGTTAGACCTTCTTTGCAACTATAACAACTTAATGGATAAACGTTAAGTTTTTTATTTATTTCATTGTAAAGCATGGCGCCAATATAGCACTGGAATTTCCTAATAAAGAAAGAGTTGTATGATTCGGTTATAGGTACATACTTTATAGTTTATAGTTTGGCCTGGACGTTATTATTCTTTTAAAGGTAAGGTTCTGATGGTGAGATTATTTAATATGTTTATCGTGTAGTGTATTGTCCAGTCAACTGACGGTAGCGAGGTTGACTTGTCAACGACACACGTACTTGTATCGTCATGAGGTAATGTTCACATGTAATCAGCTCATGTAGTATTGAGATGTTTTGTGTAGTTAGACATATTGTAAGTTAAACATATATTTAAATCAAACAAAAATAATTAAAAACTTGATTTGTTTTTGTAATTTATTATCTTGCATGGAAATATGTTATTTTAATTTCTATGTTAGAACGTATAGTAATTTAAAATTATCAAAAAGTTGGAGCTTTGCACTGAAGACAAACATTCTATAAAGTGGCCGTTATAAGCTAGGATACATAATTGCATACACACACGCATGCTTACAAATTGCAAATATATTATAAATGTGTTATTTATACTTTACTTTGGACAAAAAAGTGTAAATAATAACTCATGTTATGAAAGAAATTCAATGAAAAATTTGTATTGCAACAAAGACAAATTAAATACCGAGTATGGTGAACAGCAGAACACAAGCGCACACTTTCATTTTAATATAAAAATACTAACATTTTATTGTATCATAAAACTTGTTATACATTGCGTGAGCAACTATTTTTATATTTGTAATCTAATAAAATTATTACAACTATTTTATTGACAATAAACATTGGAATTGTTACTGATTTTTAACAAGCTAACAATCATCAACTGTACATAATTTTAAACCAATCTAATTTTGAAATAACGGCTTTTTAAACCACAGTCACTTGCAACAGCGAAGTGTTGCCAACCATAAAATATATATTACAAAACAGTAGTTTTTATTAAACAAACAGCTCATAAAATTATAAAAGTGCGCAGATTGTTTTAAGTTCAATCGACTTGAATAACAAAATTGTATTATACTATAACCAAATAAAATAATAGATTATCAGTCGTTACGTCTAAAATAAAGACATAAAATGGTTCATAATTAACGTTAGAGTGTATAATTCGCTATGAAAGTAATATTAATAACGCTATTTCTAAATTATGAATTGTTCGTCTGTAAAATTGTCCATAAGAGTAAGCATATTATTACAATTTGTATTATTTCATTACTTTGTCGTGTATCTTTTTTATAAATATGTCTGCCTGGTGGTAAGCAGATACTGTAGTCACCAGGACTCCGGCTCTATGCAGGAGAAGGAACGGGGTGGTGTTTAGTCAGTAAGAGTCTGACACTCTCTCTCGCCTCACCATAGGCGGAAGAAATCATTGACTAATATTCCACAATCAAAAAGTAAGTTGTAAAGTTGAAATTGACTGCTACAACGGAATCAAAAAAGAAATCATCAATTAAATTCTAATTTCCTTCCAGAAATCTTAAACCACACATTTCTGACAAGAAACCTACACAAATCACTAAAGGAGATCGACACCCTCCTCCGTGGAGTACAGAAAGAGATAAGGAGAGAGAGGAAGATCCTCAAATCACAAATCGATTATGAAAACACTCCGATCCCAGAAGACAGTAATTTTCTAAGTTATGACGTCACAGATATGTTTTGGGGCGAGACCGGAGTAAAAGGCGTAACACATGAGGATGTGACATCTACTTTTTTGCCAACACTATCGACACCACCCCGTACTACCGAAGAAGAATATGTAGAAGAAGAGATTGTCGAGACTGATCTGACGCCACCGACCACAGTGCCGCCCTACACCTTTAACACTAACTACCCTGGATACCCCTACGAACCTCCCCCTTTCAACCCCGTACTCTATCCTGATACTACGGAACCGACCCCCCGAAACCAGACTTTCGATATACCAATAACGCCGCCAAACTTTGGCAATATGACAAAAGACGAGGCAGAAGAAGCACCGCCCTACACTATCAGCTCCGACTACCCTGGATACCCGGTGCAGACACGAAACGACTCATTTGATTTGGTTGTAACACCACCAACCTTTGGCAAATTGACACGAAGTTTAATAGACGATTTCAATAAATATTTTGGGTTCATCAGCCAAAGTAATAAGCCACCAGGTCTTTACACAATTATACCTACGACTTCAAGGTATCCTCCTTTGACAACTACACCTTCAACTTTGAGAACTACAAAACAACTTTCAAAGTATTTAGTGCGTAATGTCCAAAAACATAATTTTGAATCCGGTGTTCCGGTGTCAGGGAAAAACGTGGATAATTTTGTAAACTGGTTCAGCCAAGCGACCGCCACTACGCCTGTTCAGAGGTGGACTACGAAGTCGCTCTGGGCCGGGCTTACTGCCAGTAAGTATTATATTACAAAGTATTTTTTATATTGTTTTAATGAGCTCTACTCCTCCAACTAACCGCTTATTTGTTATTTGAAAACATTGCTAGGCGCCTTCTATGGTGATCTGATAGCTAACGACTCGAGTAATGAGATAGTCAAAGTCTCATCAACAACCGTATGAGCATTAATCACTACGCTTCCTCAATGCGAGTTGGCGATTTCAAATTGATAATTAGAAATTGTAAGCTGGTTTCCGTTTGTCAATGGTGTCTAACTCAGAAAACCTCTCATTGGTACTTGCCATATCTCAAACTCGCTCTGTAATGCATGAGAATGCAACTTGACGGTAAAGGTGTCTTGAACCTCCGGGCCACCACGACATATTGTTAATAGTACTAATCAAAAAACTCATTTAAACAGTGCCACAGTCACTACGTCCTTTGTCCAAATCGCAATTGTGGGCCCAACAACAACAAATGAAGAATTCTGCTACTCCAGTACACAGAGAAGGTCCTTTGACTCCTCCAGTGTCTCCTCTACCACCTACGGACTACCAATTATCTGCTGCTGCAGCAGAAATGGGAAGGTACGTATTTGTAAAGTATTTTTTTTACTCGTGTTAGACCGGAGTGATACCACGGCCGAGCAGAAAACCGACGTGAAGCAACGATTGAGTTATATTTCGTCGTGTGAGTGGGGTTACCGGAGGCCTAATTGCTCCCCTTCCCAATCCCCGAATTCCCCACAATCCTCATATTCCCAATTCCCAAAAGGCCGGTAACGCACTTGTAATGACTCGGGTGTCCATGGGCGGCACCGATTGCTTTTTTTCCTAACTTAAGGCCGATTTTTCAATCAACAGATAATTCTTAACCATAGAATAAAATTGACAGTTGCCAGGTTTAGCATTGTTTTTTTTTTTTTTTTGTAAACTTTGGGGATTAGGTTTCGTCCGTTGTGTGCTGTGTCGTGCGTTTACAAACATAAGTTCATATACACATGACACTCAGACCCTTAACACGTTGCCTGGCAGCCGGTGGCCCAGCCACAGCACCAACCACACGGCTGCACAGTCATTCTCAAATATTCAAAGTTGTTCCTCTGATATTTACCTGGCGTTGGAAAAATCGGTCCTCATTCCGGGTTTTACTGGTTTTTGTACAGAGTTACATCACAGACACGCGGTTTTGAAGTTTTCGGAACACTAGACCGCAATCCACTGACCAGCACATCTGTAAGTTTGGGACCACAGGACCACACAGGGATCGTATTTGGAGGTATGTATCGCATGTCAAGCTATACCACCTTGTCTATTCTTTTAAAGATTTTACTGAATTACTGCCATATTTACAGCTATGATGATGACTAACTGTTAATATAATGTCGTCTGGTAGATTATGTCCGTACATTAGACACGTACAACAACGTGTTTGTTTATTACTCCTTCACGTCACAACGGCTGAAAGAATCGGAATGGAATTTGTAACTTGGGGTAGGTTATGGTCTGGACTACCACGTAGGCTTCTTATCCCACGGGAACGCGGGCGAAGGCGATGGAAGAAGTCAATGTTTAATGTCTTTTTATAATTCTTTTAGGTATTGGAACAAAAACCACGACGCAGGTGCCATCTGCGAGAAATGTTTACTACAAGATGATGGAAGAACAAAACGAAGGATATTTGGTTATCTTCCTACAACAAATATTAAGGATTACTTCTCTGAAGGATGAGAAACTTGTCAAGAATGTGTTGGAGGAAGTAGAACTACATGTGGGAACGTTAGTGTTTTATGATCATCACCATCGTCATACATACATAACCTCCTGCCATGGCGGTAGGCAGAGACTATGAAACGCCAATTGCTACGATTCTTCTATATACCTCTTTCGCTTCATCAACAGCCTTCAGTCTTTTCATGCATACTCGTTGGTTAACGGCACTTTTATTTTGGCCCTTCTATAATATATCGCCAATCTGCTTGATATTTGTCTATATTATTATTTCCCATCCAGGGCACCCTCTGTCGACGGTCTCAATCATATATCTCTGTATACTTCTTTCGTTACTATACTTTCATCCACCGTTTCTACATGTCCAAACCATCGTGACATTTCCTTTTCAATCCTTGTCACATTATCATCTTTTAATCCACACCTTTCTCTGATAGCACTATGTGTCACTTCATCACTCAATTTTACCCAATACATACATCTCGTCATGATTATCACTAACACAATGTCCCATTTATATTATTAGTATATAAATGTGGTATTTTACAGTTAGTTTGAACATGAGTGGTTCGGCGATCCCCTGACCAACGTCATCACTGATATTTCCCGGTTCGTCAGCGAAGGAGAGATTGATATAGTGAGAAGTAAGTATGGCAGTTTCATTGTAAATGTTGTGTACATTTATAGTGGATTTTTGATTTACAGTCCTTTTTTTAAGAGGGAAGTCATCCAACGACTTCTCCCCGCCTTGGGTGATGCGGAAGGGAGTGTCAGACTCTTACTGACTAAAAACCACCACGTTCTAAGTCCTGATTCGAGCCGCTTGTCCGCAGCTGTAAATGCTAGGACCAAGGCAGCGTTATCACTGGGATTATATTTCATCGGGACACCATAGCGGCGCAACCAGTCGCCGCTACCAACAAAATGTATACAGCTGTATAGAAAGTTACATGATGTGACCAGCTCAGGCGGGAGCATTAGAGTCTGTTACTGTCGCAGTGTGGTGTGGCGACTCTGGTGTCTGTATGCCGTCTAGATTGGTAGTTTACAGACAAAACGATAGCGCGACTGATTGCGCTGCCATGATGTCCTTTTTTTTTGAGGGTGGAAAATCATCCAATGACTTCTCCCGCCCGGGTGAGGCGGGAGGGAGTGTCAGACTCTTACTGACTAAAAACCACTCCGTTCCTACTCCTGCACTTCGAGCCGGAGCCCCGGCAACCCGTTAAGTCTTCCGCGGCTCCGTATCGGCATCAGCCCTGTTAGGCCCCATCTGTGGTGATCTGATGGCTCCTTGAGGCGCGCGCGGAACGCGACGCGCCGTACGCTCGGGCCTGGTTCTGGTCGGGCGGCGAGTCACCCATGCTCGCCGTCCGCAGGCCCGTGCTTACGGTGGCCGGAGATCGTCTCGCGATCCCCGACGCCCGGAGTGTCTCTCGCGACGGCCGGGTCGTGAGGAGGTTCGTTCCCTCACGCGCTCCGCCTCCTCCTTAGCTAGCATGACTGCTTCGCAGAAGGAGGAGACGGCGTCCCAGTCCCCCTCGCTCCGTACCATAGCCTGAACCAGAGCCGGACGCGAGAGGTCGCCGTCGCCGATCACGTTCCTGAGGACACGGCGGTGCTCAGTCCACGCAGGACACACCGCCACCGTATTCTCCACCGTGTCCTCCGGGTGATCCTCGCAGTGATGACACCCGGGCGTATCCTCCCGCCCAATCCGAAACAGGAACCTACCGAAACTCCCGTGTCCGGTAAGCACTGCCATGATGTCCTGGTAGGTGAAATATAGCGCTAAGGCTAACTAGGCAAATGTCTAGGGGCGCCGCGAGACGCGCGTGCCCAACTGCCCATAGAGTGGCGGCGGCGAAATAAATTAGGGACGTCAATGAGGTGCTTGCTTAGGGCGCCCTCTAGGTTAAATTGAGCTCTGAATCACCTTCAGAATTAATATCTTCCCAGGCTACTCATCAATGATGTACCACATGCTGCAAGTCAGGAAGACTGCTGTATCAGTAGACGTGAACTCCATCATAGACTATGCTGATCTGCTGTACAATGAAGACGAGGGAGGTGAACTCTTTGATGCTGTAACAGAATATGAAACATATCCTAAAGGTAAGTTTGACATGGCGTCTCGTAACGTAGCATAATAATATGAAACGTATTGTCTTTGTTCACCATCGTCCACACCGAACGTATTGTCCGCCACCGACTGTGAGTACGCTCACTGTCGACATCGCACTACGTAACAGAGTATAGTCGGTATGGTGTGAATAATGGAAGAGTGATAAACTATAAACGCGCGCTCATTGTCAGCGGCGGACAATACGTTTGGTATGAACTATGCCTTAAACGGTTTTATTCAGCTTGTCCCGTTTGTTTGTTTTGGTTTTTAATAATTGGATTTTTACCCCCTTTCTGACGAACGATCGATCAGATATTTCGTACACACTGTTCATCTTGATGAAGATACAATATAATCTAATTATTTCCACAACTACCTCCATTATTGATATCAATCGAAAGGACTTGATTGGTAGAATGGAGGTCATTGAACCCGTTTAACACATTATTTTGGTATTACTGTATGGTCTACTTAGTATACTAATAATTAATAAATTTCAGGTTCAAAGAATGCAAAAGAGGTGTGTGTATGTATACTCGACAGTTTCATAAGACCATACAGAAGACTTAGTCGTTCAGAACGCAGACAAACGCTTGTCGACTCTATCAACTACGCCTTAAAGATTAGATTCCCTTTACGGACTAAAATTCTTGGTGAACTTCTAAATATTGAACGTAAGTTTAGATAAATTAATTACTTTGCCTTTTAATAATACTTCTCACAAGTATCGATATGTTTAAGTATAGACATTTTCACAACACTTGAAACCTTACTTAGTTTTAACTTCCAAAATATTTCCTTTTGTTATTGGTAGATGTTCCACCCAATCAAACGCAGCGTTCCACTCCAAGTATTCTTGTACAAACCTCTAATGAGTAGAATTCTTTGCCACAGTCTGTATTTCTCTGGTTTTCTTAAAGCCCTGAGTGAATAGATTGCGTGGTAGGCATGTCCCATCATCGCATATCATCAGGTGAAATAGTGGCCACACGCCATCATTATAATCAAAACACACATATTGTAAGCTTCTTATAATCCACAGCACAAACAACCACAAAGAAACCAAAATCACAATATATCAAAGAATTACACAAACGCAACAAATATAAAAGAAAAAGAAAGAATAAGAAGATAAAAGAACTTGATGACATCATAAAACATTTCTCTTCTCGACTCGATAATATTGAATCATTTAAAAGAACGTCAAATTATGTTGGAGATATAACACCAGTCATTAACAATTATGTGTTAGAAGCAAACAAAAGAAATGGATACAAAATCAAATATAATAATGAAGATAAAAAAACGACTAGAAATTACAAAAATCTAATATTTGCTTCATCTTATGGAAATCAGAAAGAAAGTGCAATTGATGTAGATAGAAATACAAACAAAGACGCAGATTTCAATGATTTCGATGACAGTAAGGATCAAACAGCTGGATCAGATACATACTTTCTATCCAATAGTAAGGAAATCAAAAAAGTACTAAAAAAAGCAGAAGAAAAAAGGAATTTTAAAGTAAAAGAAGCACCGGTTGAAGATGACGAGGATGTATCGACAAATGAAATTGAGGCTATTAAGGAAAAATTACAAAATATGATTGTCAAAGCACAAGCCGATGAAGACTACAACAAGATGGAAGCTTTAAAATCTTATGCTTATATTTTAAATGAAGAAAATGATCAACGTACGGCCAGTAGGCACTCAGGTATTTAAACAAAATAAAGATTTTGTTCTATTTTAACCGACTTCAAAAAAAAGGAGGTCAGTTCAGTTCGATCTGTATGTAGGTTTGTGCGCAATTATCTCGCGATTATCGAATCCGATTTTGATGCGAGTTTCAGAAAAGTGTTTGACACACTTAGGAAAAAGTATTAGTATGTTAATCAATCGACTTCAAAACTAGATCGGATTGAAGTCGGTTGTTAAACGTAGTTTATAGATGAATTATTAAAAAATCATCCGATGACTCCTCCCGCCTTGGGTGAGGCGAGAGGAAGTGTAGACTCCTACTGACTGAACACCATTCTGTTCCTGCCGCGGTAACCTTAGGTCGTCCGCAGCTCCGGGTCTCTAATAAACCTGAACCTTTGAGCTTACGATTTGTGCCAAGTGTTTAAGTTACATGAAACCCTCTAATTGAGTGGAGATCCATAATCCAGTCTCCTCTATTCCCTTCTCATAACCCTGCATTGGAATATCATGGCTGTTGGGTAGGACATAATATTGGATAATATTACTAAACAATGTTTTTTTGTTTTCGCAGACTCAGACGTATCCCTACCAAGTGACACCTATAGTTAAATGGATGATTGGAGAAGACGGTGACAATTCCTGCTAGAAGCTCTGTGTCCTACTAACATTATAAATGCGAAAGTTTGTGAGCATGAATCGATGTGTGCTGCGAATGAAAATTTAGCACTTAAATTACACTTAAGCCGTTGAGAGAAGTTAATTTCAAGTTGTGTATAATACTATAGTACTATGAATACATATATTTAAGGAAATAAAACCAATAATAAGAATACACACATTTTATATTAACAAATTCCTACTTAATGATAATATCAAAGTTAGTCTAATTCAGTACAATATTTTTTTTTTAATAAGCCGGTAAATTATCATACGGATCACCTGATGGTAAGCAATTGGCGTGGCCCATGGAGACATGAAATACCAGAGATGTTACAAGTGCTTTACCGGCCTTTTGGCGATTAGAAATTTGAGGATTGTGGAGGATTCGGGACAAATTGTTGCCACTAGTAACTTGTGGTAAGGACAGCTGAAGACAGTGATGATGGCCGTGTAATGGAGAATATATTGTCAAACGCCAAATTTTATTCTAATAATGTAATTATTTTTGTAAGACTGATATCGAAAAACCCAAACCGAGGCTCCTGGAACAAAGGTGTTTGCTCAGAAACAGATCTTTTTCATGGAATAGTCTGGCAAACGTACAGACGGATCACCTGATGGTAAGCAATCGGCACCGCTCATAGACGGCCTTCGGTCCGATTCTTTAGTGTCTTTAGTTCTTCAGTGTTGGTCTAAAGAGATGCGTTGGGTTGCCGGCCTTTTGAGAGATAGTGATCCGAGGATTGTGGAGGTTGAGTAGGGAAGGAATCGGGTCTCTGGCTCCAGTAATCTCACTCACGTGGCTGAACACAACGCAAGTGTTATTTCCGATAGTTTTCTGGTCACCTTATCCATTGTTATTGTTAGTTTTATTGATATAATTGCGAATCGTCTTAAGCCTTGCAGTCTTTCTTGCAGCTGCTATCTGCCTTATTCTATTCCTCATTTAATAATAAAAATTTAATACGTTTTTCTTCTCTCATAGTTAATTGCATTTCTATCATGAATACTTTCAATTCTGTGATCTTGGTCTCTGAGCCTCAAACGCGTTTGAAATCGTATTGTCTCATGGATGAAAGGGAATCGCTTGATTCTTAGCTTTATTTAGTTTAGTTGTGAACTCCTTGGTGGGTCTACTGATTAGGTTTACTATATAACTACGTGTAGACCTGTGCCTTAACATGTGTCGATGTGTCGGAGTAATAATTTTGTACCGTCTCTGTATACTTGTGATCGGCTTCATATTTCTTAACAAAGGATAATTGTACTCAGTTTCAGGTGTATAACTTAATCTTCGTCTAAAAATGTTTTCATTGCTGTAATCTGGCCGGAATTTTGTGTGTTTTCGTTTATTTGTCTGATGTTTTGGTTTTGACTTCAGCTTTTGTAGTTTGTGTCTAAATTTCTTTTGTTTTTTCCTTGAGAATGGGACTGTATTGTAGTTGCCTGATGCCACTGGCGGCCTTTCTTCTGTTGCTGTGAAAGAGAAGATGGGTATGACGTCATTTTGTTTTACAAAGCCACCGTTGTCCTGATGGTAAGCGGACACCGTAGTCTAAGTACACCTGCAACACTAGAGGTACCACGAGTGCGCTGCCGACAATAAAGCGAGTTACATGGGAATCTGCACAATTTGCCGCATGATCAAGGTCGTCTATGGCTCAAAGATCGGTTTTAGGATGCTGGAGGAGACTTGCGCCACTATTCGGATAGAATTTTCGAACAACAGTTTAGAATTTCAAAAATCTAAAGAACCTAATATTTCTAAGATCGACGTAAAGGTACTCAATTCCAAGTTAACGAATAATTATGACTGTTAGATACATAATATACGTACCTTCTTTTATACCTAAATATCCCAAAGCACTCCCCTCCGATACGTCTGCTTCAGGTATTATAGCTTTAAGCTTAAAGTTAATAGAGTCTAACAATCGTTGGCGCAGCTTTGTATTACTGAGCCGACGATATGGTTTTAGGAAGCTCTCTATTAATGTTAAACATACTGAGTAGCCTGGTTGTAAAACTGAAATATGAAAAATAAATACAAATTCAGAATAACAGTCTGTTACACTTACTATAAGAAGTTCGAGAATCAACTAATAGATGGCGTTGTGTACAAATCTACATTGCAGAAATACATACTGTTAGGATAGTCATCAAAATCTTTGAGCACATTGAAGAGCTTCGTGCCTTCTTCATCATCATACAGCATATCAGCATAGTCTATGATGGTGTTGACTTCAGAAGATAACTCTTGGTGACGTCCACTTATCTTTTTATTCAATTTCAAAGCGTATTCTGTAAGAACATAATTAGAATCAGTTAGATCATTGTTTACACGTGAAAATTAGCCCATGACAATACCTAAGTATCTGTGTCATTGACAAGTCAACCTCGCTACCATTTGTTGACTGGACAATACACTACATGAGCTAATTTCATGTGAATTACTTACTTTGTATCACTCCCGTTTCAGATTCAGTCATTAATTTTGCCATTTTCATTGTGATGCCTAAGAGAGGCTGACCGAACCAGTTAATTTTTCCATTTTCATGAAGTCTGAAACACAAATGAATATGGTTCAAATTATCAACTTTCAACTTGCATGTCAGATGGTATTATGTGCCACTCACTGCAGCACGATCTGTTCAGTATGAACGAGGACTTCAAATAGATCATCCTTGTCTTTTGAAGCCATGATCCTCATCAGCTCGATGAGGAACACCACCATGTACCCTTCATCCAGATCGTCAATCATTTGGAAGTATGGCAGCATCGTGGTTGTAGTTTGTGGCGTACCTGGATGACAGTTAAACGTATTTATTATTATTGTTAACATTGAAGATAGACTAAAGGTTTCTGCAAAGGTACGATGAAAGAAAACATCGTAAGGAAACCTGAGCTTATAATTTGTAGTTATACATTAGCGTGGTGATTAATGGCACGGAGGTTTAGGACGCTCGCTTCTCATGCACGAGGATGCGGAAAACTTACCAACTCCAAGTACCATGGTGACTTTTTGCAAGTTATATGTACTTTCTAAGATTATTAAGACACCACTGACAAACGGCGAAACATTGGAATGAGAATAGGTTTGAAATTGCTTACCCGCATTCAGCAAGCGTGGTGATTAATGCTCAAACCTTCTCCGTATGAGAAGAGGCTTTTGGTCAGCAGTGTACACTTATAGACTGATGAAGATGATAATGAGCTGCTATTGAATAACGAGTCTAAATATGACATCAGAAGTAGAAAAAGTATTTAGATACTACTAACGTTTTATATTCACTTGTACTGGTGTAGTTAAAGAGCTTGTTTCCTCTTCTTCATCGTTTTCATACTCTTTGTGTGTTGTCGTTTTTACTTCTCGTACAATGGTTGATTCTTTTATAAGTTTGTTAGCGTGTAGCCTTTTATGCTTTGTCGTGTATACTTCTCTTACTATGATTGGCTTCTTTATATTTTTTCTTAAATGCATCTTTTTAATTTTATGCGTTGAGATTTTGTCCTTTCTAAACGTTGTCTTTGTAAATTTCTTTACCTTTCTATGGGCTCTTGTTTCTTTTAAGTAATAATTGAATATTTTGTATAATATAGATTTCGTTGCATCTACTTCTGTGGGTTTCATTGGAACTCTAGAAACCTCTGTAGTCCGTTCCAGTTCCGTTTGAGTGTTTTGTGTTTCCATCCTTAGTATTTCGTCAAATGTATCTTTATGTTCATCATCAATGTCATCCATTATAAACGTTTCATAAGTCTTGTTACTGAATTTAATTGTTTTACCCTCATCTGCTACATTAGCCATTCTTGGCGTAGTGACTTCACGTACCTTAGCAGTTACATTTGCTTCTGTATGATCGTCTACTGGACTATGGTCTATTATATCTTTATCCTCTTCATGTTGTTTTTTCATTGTATTGTCTATTTTATCAAACATTACTACTCTGTCAGGTTCAATAATTACATCTATGCCTTTTAAGTTCATACTCTCTTTCAGTTCTCGGATCAATTCGTTATTGTTATCAGGTTTGAAATCTGATTCTTGAACCAAAGTATCTTGGTTTGTCATTATGTTATCGTCTGGTTTATTATTTTCTCCTTCCCTTGGTATATTTGGTTCGTTTTCTATATCTTCCACATCCTGTTTTTTCTTCTCATTTGTGTTTAACGTAGCAGGATCTGCGTGATAGTCATCGATTAGTTTGTCTTGAACTGATGAGATGACTGGATCTAAAGTAGTTTGGTCTTGTCTTTCAATTTGTTTCGGTTTAGTTCTATCTTCCACAGTTTGTTGGCCTTTCGTAAGGGTTTTATGAAATGGTTTCAATGTTTCTGTTGTGAAGTACAAATATTGATCAGTCATTTGATTATTGATTGTAGTTATAGAAAAAAATATTATTAAGTTTATCGAAATTGTCTATAACAGCAGGGAGTTTGGAAGTGATAGTATTGCATGAGACTCTTAATGTAACTGGTGCAAATTAAGCAATTTGCCCACATTTGGTCACATACATTCCCTGAGGTGTCAGAGAATGTATGTGACCTGACATCTTCTTGGAAAAGGATACATTTTTACTATCCAGGTTTTGAACTGGAATCAATTAGATTTTTAGTTTTAAACATTACCCCATTCTAAGATTTTCTTCTGTGTCGTGTTTATAAGTTTACATACACATGATACCCAAACCCGAAATAAAAATTTGTCGAATTCCTCGTCAAACAGTTGCGTCAGTAAGCCGAATATATAATAATTAATTTAGTATGTCCCACGAAAGTTATGATGATGATGACAAACTGATGACTCACCAGTGAAATCAAGGTTGTTAGTTACAGTTGGTGGAATATAATTAGTAGGAGTCTGATATTTAGCCATCTCTTCCATCACAATATTGACATCTGATGGGTGAGTTTGGTACAGTTTATAAACGACTGCTTCAGGAGTGATACCC